ACCACGCAGATATGAAGGTCGTCCCGTCAGCCCCTCACAATTTCTCCCGGTGAAGCGTCTTCGTCCTCTACCCCATTGCAGACGTTGATGATCGTAGTTTGGGAATGACAGACAAAGAAAAGGCTAGTTAATGGAGCAAAACACCGGGCGTATGGGACGTTAACAAACTCCTATCCCCGGGCGAGGGTGAGGTAAAGGGTTCACATAAATAACTGCAGGCAGGACAGGGCTGAATATGGCTGGTAGGGCAGTCAGAAAGCGACTATTAAGGGGAAATTGTCACTACTGCACCATCTAATTAGTCGCAGGGGGAGGGGATCACACTACCACAATCATCATCATCATCATCATCATCATCATCATCATCATCATCATCATCATCATCATCATCATCATCATCATCATCATCATCATCATCATCATCATCATCATCATCATCATCATCATCATCATCATCATCATCATCATCATCAACAACAACAACAACAACAACAGAATGGTATTACCGACAAAAACAAGGGAATACCATTCTGCCTTTATCATGCGCCGCTGTGAGGCTGCTGGTTAGTCTCGAGAGAGAACCTGTAAGGCACAGCGGAACTCACTCGCTCCGTAAGAAGGATTGGTGAGCGCAACAACAACAACATTACTACTACTCAGTGCGTGACCGATCTCATGAAATGTTAGCCAAAATTCTGGAATACGTTTCCGAATAGGAAGGATTTCTTAAGTGGGATTGTTATACTGCGTATCACGTAGCATAACCCTGTAACATTTCGCACTCGCCAGAGTGTCGGCTTTTTAATGCACTTCTGTTTGACCTCCTACAGAAACCACGTTCGGTAAAAAAATAGCTACTTAAGTAGCATGCATGTTTCCTATTGATTTTCCATTGTCTTATAAATCCAAATGTATTTTTTTGGAAAACTTGCACAAAATATGCTTTCTTTTGCTCATTCGGAAGAAAATCAGGCTAGATCGCAGTTGGTATCCCCGAATGGGATTCGGACGGCGACCATAACCCTAATCCCAACCTTAACCCTAACCACAACCTCAACCGTTACCGTTAACCGTTAACCCTAACGGCAACCCTAACCCTAGCCGAAATCGTAAACGTAACCGTAGTCCTTAGACATGGGCGTAACTGAGAAGCCTAACCGTAGTACTGGGACCTATTCATACGCTGAAACCCTAACCGTAACCCGAAAACCGAAGCCTAAGGGCATAACCCTAACGGGAAATCGGAAACCATTAACCGGTACCCTAATCCTAACCTCAAACGTAAAACGGAAGTCAAATGTTTCCGATCTGACTATAAAGGCCCACATAATAACTCCAGTAAACAACCCCCCCCCCGGCCACCTGTAATGCGGGTCCGGGCTACCAACTGCGATCTAGCCGAAAATCACATTGTCTTCACATTTTATGCCCGTATAAAGTGTGTATTTAGGTTTTAAAAAGTTTGCAATTGTGAGATTTTTAAGACTACTACTACTACTACTACTACTACTACTACTACTACTACTACTACTACTACTACTACTACTACTACTACTACTACTACTACTACTACTACTACTACTACTACTACTACTACTACTATTACAACAACAACAACAACTACTACTACTACTACTACTACTACTACTACTACTACTACTACTGGCAGCAATGCTGTCGATACCACCGTCATTAACAAGACAAGCAGCATTTAATGCAGCATTAATACGAAGCGTAAAGTAGAGGATGATCGTAGATGATTACCGA